CAACCTCCGCCTCCTGGGTTCAAGTGATTCTCCTGCCTCAGCCTCCTGAGTAGCTGGGATTACAGGCAACCGCTGTCGTGCCTGGCTAATTTTTGTATTTTTAGTGGAGACCAGGTTTTGCCATGTTGGCCAGGCTGGTCTTGAACTCCTGACCTCAAGTGATCTGCCTGCCTCAGCCTCCCAAAGTGCTGGGATTGCAAATGTGAGCCACTGCGCCTGGCCAAAATAAGATTTATTATTTTTTATTTTCACTTTTTAACAAAGATAAGTGGAGGATGGGATGTCATGTTACTTTTAGTCTTTAGAAGTAGAAATCTAAGAATACCAAATAGAATAGAATAGATTAATAGAGTGGGTCATTTACAGTTTCAAGTATTTTTTGAATGTAGTTTTTGTTTCATATTATTAAAGCTGAGCCTATTATTAATGGTCATTGTCAATGAAGTTTGAGTTTAATTGTATACTGATCAGAAGATATTACTGTGAAGTATTTCATTCTGAAAAATTTTATCAAATTGTGTAGTTCAGTTAGATTTTCCTTTCTTTGGCTACCTTACAGATTATTTTTCACTATTTTTTATGGTTATAGAGATATGGTACTCTAGGTTAAATTAAATTCCAGAATAGTTAGAGAGATTTTTTTTTTTTTAAAGTAGAGAACTGTGGCTCAACGTTGGGTAGTAAGAGCAAAGAAATAACAGAAATGTTTCAAATTTCTAGCAAGTATTTCAAAGAAAACAAACAAAAATTATATCTTCATACTATCACTAAATTGATAATCGGCAGATAGGATAGAACCTATGTTGATTACTCATTTAGAACAATTTTGATTATTTTAAATTAAATAGGAAACTTTAAAATCTGTCTTTTTCTTATGAAATCAGTTGAAGACTATGGACATGCCTGTTTCCTGTCAGTTTATTCCCCAGCAAAACTGTTTATAGTAGCGAGTTTGCACTGGAGTTTCCAGAGTTCAAACCCAGGTTCCACAATATGACTCTGGGGAACTTATCCTACATAAGCCTTATTTTAGCTTTTCAAATACAAGTGTCAATAGTGCCTATACTTTTGTGTTTTATAAACAGTAAATAATCAAGTAAAGTCCTTTGCACAGTTGGAGGACATATTGACTGCTCAGTAAACATAAGCAAGCTCTCATCATTACTTAGCGGCAGAATGTAATCATTATACGTAGATGGTTTTCTTTTCTGTCAATTACTAACAATGAAATTAATTCTTAGGTATCAATCTTTTATATAGGATTAAGAATAAAGTGTTTATATAGAATTAAAATAAGAATAGTAGATTTACAGTCAGTAAATCAAAGGAATGGATACAGTAAAACACTACATAAAAATTAAGACATTTTCTCAAAGAAAATGTTCACTGCATTTGGATCATTTCAGTTTAAAAATAATTGAATACTATTTTATTTAACTGTTTATACTAAAAAAAATTAGGTTTCTTGATTGTACAGAGACATGAAAATGCTGAAATGGCAAGAGAATTTCATGTTGTAGTTGTAAAATTAAATATTTAATGCTCCCATTTAAGTTTACAAGGCCTTGAAGAAATTACCTTCTGATGAAACTGAATAAGGCTGGAAGTGTCACTGCAGAGAAAATTCTCAGTACTTGGCTCTGAATTGTCTTTTGACACCTTCAGCATTACCTTTGACATTCTTTTCACAGCCTCAACCATTACCAGCTTCCTGATGCCTGTCATAGTATGCATTTTCAGGATTCCAGGGTTTCTGAATCAGACAAGCTTCCTGCATATTTCATTAGGCACAAAGTTTTTAACACAAAATGGTTAGCTGTAACTGGGTCATTGCTACTGAGCAAGGAATGACACATTTAATGTCATTTTTCACTGGCAAAATATGTTCTGTACTTATGGTAAAATGTGACTTACACAATGTAAAAAGCTCATATTATTCTCCCTTTGCCTGGCTGTCTCAAATAGCAAAAGCTAAAGTCGTGATTTTTTTAAAAAATGGATTCTTTTGTGGAGGTACATGTCTAAAATTTGAAGGAAAACATTACTCATCCAAAACAATTTTTATAAGTGAAAAACAGTTTTTTTGATTTGACTGCTCTTATATGTCAATTTCTAATATTTGTTCTACTTTTAACCATGTTCAAAATGGTGAACTATCAGTTTGCTGTTTTTTAGTTTGATGAGATGATATTAAATCTGAGAATTTTTGACATTTGATGAGACTTCATGCCACATACTTCAGTTTAGCATCTATCAACCAACCATGCTTAGACACATAAACATAATCAAGCCTGTTTCTCATATATAGTAGGGGAAAAAGAAATCACATCCAAACAATTCTAATAGAGGGACTGGGTACTAGTAGAGTGATGCCCAGAACACTACAATGAAGTCACAATTTTAGAATTACAAATGTAAATCAGATGTATAAATACATATTTTTATTCCTTATCATTGAAGTTAACTTTTCTGTAGATCTGTATTTAAACATGATAGTAGAACAAAACACACTTTACAATTGTAACCCAGTTACTTCCCATTTTTAGTTCAGTCTCAGCTTTTTTGTTTCTTTTATTTTCTTCCTGAGGTTACTTCACAATGATGCCTACTCTCAAGTGTGGGTGTTTTCCCTACACTCCAGATTGAAAGTCAGGCAAATCTCTACTATTTTCAAAGTCCTTCAGTGATGGATATATTATGTGTCAACTTGGCTGGGTCATGGTACCCATATTTGGTCAAACATTATTCTGGATGTTTCTATGAAGTTGTATTTGTTTTATTTTTTGGCCCAGGGTAGGGTGGTAAAATTAACATTGAAATAGCTGGACTTTGAGTAAAGCAGATTAACCTCCTTAATGTAGGTGGGCTTCATTCAATCAGTTCAAGACTGCAATCGAACAAAAGATTGTCTTCCATGGAATCGAACAAAAGACTATCTTCCATGGAGTAAGAACGAACAAGACCAAGAGACAGCCTTTAGACTTGCACTGCAACTCTTTGCTGAGTCTGCAGGCTACCAGGCAACCCCATTATATTTTGATTTACCAGTCTTCCACACTAGAATGAGCCAAATTAGCAAAATAAGTTTCTCCCTCTCTCTGTCTCTCTCTCTTTCTCTCTCTCACACACAGCCACACACCGTCCCCCATCCCTCTCTCCCCTTCTTTCTCTTTCCTAAATGTCCAATAAAACTGCTCCATTATTATACATCCTTCCTTCCCTGTGGTTAATATAAGCTGTTTGTTTGAGTCTGCCAATGTTTAAAACGCGATTTTTACAATAAAGCTCTAAAAATCCCATAAAATCCCAATGGGTGTCTGATTCTAGGCTGAATCCAGGGCTTTCATTACTATTGTCTGTATCAAGGAGAGAGAGGGTGAACAACTCCAAAATCAGAAACTCAATTTACTCTCTTATTCTCTCTCTCCCCCTCTCTCTCTCTATCTGTGTGTGTGTATGTGTGTGTGTGTGTACATTTGTATGTGTTTCACCATTTTGGTTTAATGGTGGATGGATATAGGTCAAAAGGAACTAAGAGAATAAACATTACATTTACTACCTCAAAATATTGTTCCACTACAGTTACTATAACTTGAGAAGTAAATTCATGTTTCCAGTATCTTGAAGGATGCTTTTATGTTTTATGAAATGGCATGAGCAAATAGTAGGAACTAATCTAGAACTATGACTACCATTGTGTAGATACATCGGAAAGAACTAACAAATTATAAAGCAGCGAGGTGTAATGGAAATGCATGGACTTTAATCAAGTCAAATTTGACTTAAATCCTGGTTTGAGTACTAGCTATGCCTTGAACAGGTTTCTGAAACAGCCTAAGCTTTGATTTTCTAACATATATAATGGGGATAATAACAAAATCTGCCTGATGAGGATTTTTTTTTTGAAAATTAACATTTTACACATTCTAGTCTTTTAAAAATACAAATTATTTTATACCACTCTTCTGCTTTAAGTGTTTTATTTCCTTACCAATATACTCCATAACTTCTTCCTGCCTCTGCAACCATATTTCACACCACTTTTGCCCCTTACACTCTAAGATACAGTCATATGGAACATTTTATAGTTCATAATATCTACTGCATTCTCTCACTTTTGGGTTTTGGTGTAGATTATGTCCTCTGACTGGAACTCTCCCTCCACCATCTCCTTAGCTTAGACAATGCCTGTTCATCCTTCAAATTATCCAAATGTAATGACGTTTTCTTGGGCAGGCTTTCCTGATCTCCAAATCAAGGTCAACTCCCTAAGCTCCTTGGCTCCCATACTGAAATTTCTTCTTATGTAATTCTCATAAACAATAGCATATTTTTTTGCATGTTTTTCTTCCCTATAAATTGCAAATTCCAGCAGAGCTGCTATATTTTCATTTCTTCCTGAGTGTTTTCCCATAAATTCTATAGCCTGTGAAAAGATTGTTTTAGGGAAATATTATTTTTTAATATACCATATTTAGTCAATGTAGGATATATGACTAGTACCTGCTGAAAACCATCTCGTGATCCCTGTGTAAGAACTAATTAACACTAGACATATTATTTTCCTTGCTCACTAAAAATATAAATGTCTCAGAAAGTAGAAAATTATTCCTCTCTAAATAAACATACATGCCATTCAAATTTTATTCCTCTACTATTTGCCATATCTAAACCTAGTTAGATACTTTGGTTTTAGTTATAATCTGATAGAACAGATACAACCAAGATCACATTGTGAGTCAGAAGTGGAAAATTCATAATTCATTATGATACCAATAAAAGATAGATTTAGCTTTTTACAGGATTTTTTTTTGGCATTTTATTCTTTCATTTGAGGGGAACCCTCACCAAATATGTCTTTCGTGGTTCACTGTGTTATTTACTATCTGTGATGCATATTCTCAGTTTACTTTACACCTAATCTATAGATTCAAAGATATCCTGTGTCAGATCTCTAAAAGCAAAAAGAAAAATGGGTACTTGTGAAGGCTGATTCACAGTTAGTAGTGTAGAGGGGAGTGCCTTGTGTATTCACAAATTATCAACCAGAGAATCAGATAAGATTTCCTTTAGTCACACACACACCTACCTTCTTACTAGGAAGATCTACAAACTTGAAAAATTGTTCTTCTTGACCCAAGTTACTTATCAATCCCTTTATTATAATATTTGTAATTATTGGGGCTCGAGAACCGAGCGGAGCTGGTTGAGCCTTCAAAGCCCTAAAACGTGTGACCATGGGTTCGGGGTTTATGGATTGAATTCCGCCGGCGCAGGAGCCTCTGCAGAGAGAGAGCGCGAGACATTGGAGATAGGCAGAAGGATTCATTTAGCGCTGCGCAACAGGGCGCCCTCTGATGTGAAATAACTTGTCCTGGACAGCAGTCGGTCGAATGCAGGCAAACTCGAAGGCCTCACAGATGACTTTGAAGAACTGGAATTCTTAAGTACAATCAACGTAGGCCTCGCCTCAATCTCAAACTTACCAAAGTTAAACTAACTTAAGAAGCTTGAACTAAGAGTCTCGGGGGGCCTGGAAGTATTGGCAGAAAAGTGTCCAAACCTCACATATCTAAATTTAAGTGGCAACAAAATTAAAGACCTCAGCACAATAGAGCCACTGAAAAAGTTAGAAAACCTCAAGAGCTTAGACCTTTTCAATTGCGAGGTAACCAACCTGAACGATTCCCGAGAAAACGTGTTCAAGCTCCTCTCACAACTCACATATCTCCACGGCTATGACCGGGACGACAAGGAGGCCCCTGACTCGGATGCTGAGGGCTACGTGGAAGGCCTGGATGTGAGGAGGAGGAGGAGGATGAGGAGCAGTATGATGAAGATGCTCAGGTAGTGGAAGATGAGGACAAGGATGAGGAGGAGGAAGGTGAAGAGGAGGACGTGGGTGGAGAGGAGGAGGAGGAGGATGAAGAAGGTTATAAGGATGGAGAGAGAGATGACGAGGAAGATGAAGAAGAGTTTGATGAAGAAGAAAGGGGTCAGAAGCGAAAATGAGAACCTGAAGATGAGGGAGAAGATGATGACTAAGTAGAATAACCTATTCTGAAAAATTCCTCTTGTGATTTGCCTGCTTTTACTCATATCCCCTCCCCCCATCCAATTCTGCGCCCTGAAACTTATTTTTTTCTGATTGTAACGTTGCTGTGGGAACAAGAGGGGAAAAGTGTACTAGGGGTTGCGAGAGGAGGGAGGGCAGGAGGGGGTGGACTAAAATACTACTTTTACTGCCAAAAAAAACAATATTTGTAAATATTAACTGGGATACTAGCTTTGTAGAATGATTTCTATTAATTATTCTCTCTCTTTTTTTTTTTTTTACACATTCTCTTAAGTATAGTCCTTTCAGTCCAAGGAAAAGACACTACAATCCACTTATTAATGCTTGCTACTATGTTCAAGTAAAATAAGCTCCATGATTAAAAGAAAGAGGGGAAAGAAAATATTTACAACGAAAATGTTGCTAAAAATTTAAAACAAATAACAGTAAATGTATTGTTAAAGCAAATTCTATTTTTAAAAGTTATTACTAAGGAAATAATTTGTTGCTAAAGCAAATTTTTGGAAAAATAATGCACTTTATACTTGATTTTATATATTAAACAATGATATATAAGTTTCAAATATCTCAGAACTTTATTTTAATAGCATGTTGCAAATTATTTAAATCATGCAAAATCATTGCAAAGAAATAATAAAGCATACCTCGGGACATTATGAATATAGTTACTTTGGGGAAACAGTTTGAAAAATATATATTGCACCTTAGAGACTGTGAATCTATAAATTTTTTATTTAAAAGCTGAGTAAAAATGCATTGAGACAAACAACTATCATTGTACATTGAAAGATACAACCAGAGATAATTCAAATAACTGGAATGAAACTAATAGTAACATAATTAAAAACTAATAAAGAGCAGTAATTAAATGCTGTCATCAATAATACCTTTATCAGTCAAGGCATTCATGAATATAATGATTGCTGGAAAACTGCAGCATTTCAAGTATATTTATGTTGAATTTTTAGCATTAGTTGTGGTCTTTGTTTTTAGCATAGATTTGGAGACCTCAATAAATTATAAAGTAGTTATTGGTATAACTTTTTTAGTTCCAATAACTCTCTTAACTAATACCATGTATAAAAATAAAAGCATATAGAATTTCAGTAAAGACAAAAAAGGATTTATAATTTTAGATTAATTCAAAACCCAGTAAGAGCAAACTCTAAGGTGTCCAACAAGCTAGGGACCATATATGAAGTGTCAATGGCTTACCTTTGTAGAACTTTATTGCTGGTCTGTATAATCTTCCTGGTCTGTTTTAGTTAGAAATTCCCTTATTTTATAGATCATGAAAGTGAGACTATCAGGGTTTCAATTCTAGATCCCAAGCACAATCCAGGGGGTCATAGAGCTAGAATGAGGGCACAGACAGTAATCCAGGGAGTCATAGAGCTAGAATGAGGGCACAGACAGTAATCCAGGGTCCCTTCTTTTTTATTTATTTATTTATTTTATTTTATTATTATTTTTTATTATTATACTTTATGTTCTAGGGTACATGTGCACAACATACAGGTCCCTTCTAATGCACAACATGAGAATAACTTTCTATTTTCATTTGTCTGAGAAATTGTTGGGATAAAAAGATATTAGAGAACTTGAGGTATATATCTTACTTAGTTTGATTATATTTTACCCAATAGCTTTGTTTAAAATATTCATAATATCCTAATATCACAGTTCCCATTAACGTAAAAAAATAAATTTTCTCTTTTTAATCCTTTTTTATAGTACCATAGAATTCTGAGATCTTACATGTAAAATTGCATTTGAAAAAATATTCTCCTTTTGTTTATTTGGTAAACATATGAATGCTGGTTACAAGAAAAAAAAACAAATTTCTAGGTCTTGTAGAGGGAATACAAAGATTTGGTAAAGAATAAATCATGTCCTCAAAAAACTTAGAGCTAATGAGTGACTATAAAATAAAAATAAAATACACGGATGATGCTGGAAGCCATCATTCTCAGCAAACCAACACAAGGACAGAAAACCAAACACATCACATGTTCTCACTCATAAGTAGGAGTTGAAACATGAGAATACATGGACACAGGGAGGGGAACATCACACACTTGGGCCTGTTGGGGGATAGGGGACTAGGAGAAGCTTAGCATTAGTAGAAATACCTAATATAGATGACGGGTTGATGGGTGCAGCAAACCTCCATGGCACATGTATACCTGTGTAACAAACCTGTACTTTCTGTACATGTATCCCAGAACTTAAAGTATAATAAAAATAATAATAATTTTACTTTTCATACTAAGTGAAGTTTTCAGGTGTCTATAATGATGTGTTAGAAATTAGCATAACACAATTTATTTTAGAATTTCTGAAATATTAAATTTTTGAATGTTTTATTTGATATCAAATAGTTAAAACCATGCTTTTCGCGCTTTTGAAAATCCATTAAATGCATCATAGAACTTGACCTTAACATTTTGATATTAGTCAGTGCTATCCTGCTAAATTTTATTGTAAAATGACAGCATACAATTAAGAGATGCAGGCTGTGAGTGTGAAAAGTTAATTAACTGCAAGATTTTGACAGACACCAGGTAATTAAACACTAAAATGAAAATAGTTTTTTGAAAAAAAATTAATTATGTTTTATTTTATATTACGATGGTAAGAAATGTGAAATGGGATGTTTTCCATTAGCTGGCTTTGTTCGTCCATCATGATCGTTCTCGCATTATGCTCCCAGTGAAGTCATCGTGCCTTTCCCACCTGCAGTGCCCTTAATCTGTTTCTTAAAGTTATTTTAGAAATTAGAATACTGCTGTGGCATTAAAGTTTAATACTTTGTTGGCACTATAGGCAGAAAAAGCTAAAAGAAAAAAATCCACACAATTAAAATTAAAATTATGTTTCTTACCTTTCTGTCTTTTCACAGAAAAAGAAATGGAGCTTGTGTGTAATGTAGTCATGAGGACAAAATTTTAATTTATGATTCACTATAATGCAGTGGGAGTATTATACCTTATTGTGTTTCTACCTCAGTTTCCTGATATTCTTATGTGGTGATGATTCTGGTCAACATTACCCACTTTTGAGAGAAATAGCTCATTTTTGCTAATCTTGAACCATAGTCATCAAGACTTTTAAAATGAGTTTTAGACTAGAATGTGCTAAAAGCCCTAGAACATTAAAGCCGCTTACTAATAACTTCTAACCACAGAAATGAAACTTATTAGGGTAAGTTAACAAAAGCCAGTTGCTTCTTATGGAGACACCTTGTTTACTACAAGAGTCTTTGGAAATTATGTGACAAACATTGGACTACTGGTCTGAAATTTATAGATCTTTGCAGCATTCTAGTTGACAGATGCAGGGTGATTTTGGACAGCATTTGTTCATTTACCCATTCATTTTTAAAATGTTTCTTATGTCATAATAATTATTCTAGCACCGAAGATGAAATAATGAGCAGACTAGGAAACTGCCCTCATAGAACATCCACTGGATTGTCAATGCCCGGGCAGCCAGCAGCCACATTGACATGTGAAGTGTATTCCACTTACTCAATTGAACAAATCCAAGTGAAGGAGTCACTGTTACTGAAGATCCTCATTATTCCAGAAGAAGCTCTTTCATGTTCTGTGTCATGAAGCCAATACATAAAACCAAAAGTGAGAGTTCAGCAGTGCAGGCTTTAGTCCAATGGCTTCGGAATTGGAGAAGTGGGAGCATAGCTCGCAAATCAACTTCATGGCTCCTGAGAACTGGGAATTTACAGATATAGGGTATCCTTAATGAAGGTGTGGGGAATTAAGAACAAGCAGAAGAATAGTCATGCTTTTTCTTGGAAGGGGACAGAGATTTGCTTGAAATCAAGGCCAGCCCTCTTTTTTGACCTTTTTTGGCATCTTCCAAAAGAGGTGATTAACAGTGATTGTCAAGTGTCATGGCACCAGTGGGAGTGTCATTTAGTGTGAAAATTGGATAATAATGAAGCTAGAGTCCTTCAGAGGTCAAATAAGCTGCCTAAGAGATAACCTCTGACCACAGGCATCCTGTCTCCTAAAAATAAGCAGAGTTAGAGCTCAGTAAAAATTTAGCTATGTCACACAGGCGTAGGTATTTGGCAACAAGAGCCAGGTAGGGATACAGATAAGTCACATAGGCACTGCAGTGGGTAACAGTATCCTCCCTCTAACTAGTCTCAGAAACTCAAATTGTGCCTAGAACTTTTCATAAGGAATGTTCTTCCAAAAAGTGCCTAGTAGAAGACAAAGGTCATTGGCATAGCAGCTACAAGTTCCCAGTACAGTGTTGCGAGTAATTTCTTAAGGGGAAGAGGACTTTCTGGCATGCCTAACTTGAATGTACCGCTAAAAATTTTATAAATGTTTCATACTTTCAAATTTTATGATTTATTGTTTTATTATCTTGTTTAGGGGGAAGGAATCCAGCAGAAGTAGCCCCAGGTGCTTCAAGAGTGACTGAAGTGTTTTTAATTCCTTCTTGTAATTTCCAGTATTATAACTTGTAACTTTCCACTTGAAACATTTGGACAAGTGGAACCCACTTTATTCTACACTGTCCAAAAAGTCGCAGTTAATACTTGTTGAATGATGGAAACAAGAAAGTCAAAGATAGCTAACTTTTTACTTTGCTGGTATTGGCTACCTGAATGATTGACTCTCTAATGAGGGCTCATGATGGAAGACTTTGCATCGTAATATTTACTTTGAAGCTGAACATAATTAATCATTCAGTTTGTGGTTTTAAAAGCTAAATTCTCCTAAACTTATATAAGTAAACAGTAAATCCTAAGGTAAAAGTAAAGCAAGGATGTATGAATTTAAAAGAATATTGTTTTAAAATATAGTCCACAAATTCCTGGTTACAGACATTATGAACTTTTAGAGTAAAATATGAATAAATATAATCCTATACTTAGCAATTTACAAATTAAGATAATTTTTATAGAAATTCTGTTCTGTTTTTAGTAATGACTATGCTCTTACTTGTTAGGAATGTATTGCAATGCCAGTTTTCTCCCTAATATTTACTTTAGAGGTATAATTGTTCTTGAGATTTTTCTTGTCATTGGTTTATGTAGGCTTATCAAATTTTTAGTTGTCATATTTTACCATTGGTTGTGTTCTATTACTAGTTTCTCCAAATAAACTAATTACCTAAAAGCAATTCCTGAGTCATAATTACAATGATAAGAATAGAAACACAATGTTACAACACATAGGATATAGTAAATATTTATCATGAATAGAATTTGAGTAAAAATATAGGATGTGAATATGTATCTGTCAGCAAGTGTTATTGTAGAGATTTCAAAGAAATCCATTTAAAAATGGGGCAAATAAGAAATATGACTCTCAGAAAACTAGACTATATTGGATTCCAACAATCCATTTGCCTCTAGTTTTTAACATATTACTTATAAAACTTCCAAATTGTGATTTTTCAGAATAAGTGCAAAATTACATTTCCCTGTACAAACTTGATTAACTCTACAATTGTTTGTGGAGAAGGCACACAACTTTAGGGTCATCATTCAAAATTGCATTTCTCAAAGCAAAAAGAAGAATAAATAATACTATTTCCAAAAATTTTGTAGAAATAATTGCAGAGATAATTACAAATATTATACCCAGAGAGAAAACAAAATGAGTTATTGGCAACATTTCTTTGTTAAATAACAATGCGTCATGACACACTAAATTAATGACATATTCTGTAAAAGTAATTACTTTCTAATATGTATTCTAACAGATACTTTATTTTATAGCTGTATTAATTAATGTGCAGAGTATGAATTTGCTCTTTGCATTTGTGCAAACACAGCATGAGGGAGGTATGCAATGGTGATTCAACATCAGCTATATGAGGATTAAGAAATAACAAATTTACTTTAATTAAAAGGACTTTGCATTGACTTTCAATCCATAGTCTGAGTATTGTTTACATTGCATATTGAAGAAAATGATGAAAATTATGATTATGATCCAATCACTATCAGACAATGCCATTCTTTTCAGTATGCAAAGAGATTTACAGAGTTCTGTTTATCTATCCTGAGGTCAGCTGACCATTTAGGGAATGACAATTTCCTGAGTGTTTGAAATGAAACAAACAACCAACAATAACAACAAAGAAACAACAATAAAAACAATTGCTTCTTGATACTAAAAACACAAAAGGAGTACCCATGATTTCAAGGGACATGCCCAAGTGGCTAGCTCGGTAATGTGTCCTCTGTCCTAAAAAGTCTGAAACTATTGCTTCAAGGCTGAGGGAGAAAAACTTCCTATCATGCAAATATAACAGGATTTCATATGAAGATTGAAGTCAACAGTCAAAAGTTGGACATTCTCGGATACTCTTTCTAAAAATTTTTCCTTTGAGAAAGTATTTTTAGACCAGTGTAAATAACTAAAATTTATTGGTGTCACTTACGGCAGAAGAAACTTCCTACACCGGATGCACATGGCCCAATTGTTAAATAGAACATTTTGAAGGTGAACACATGCCATAATCTAGGTTTTTTACCTGCTTTTTAAGATGGCCAATTCTTCTGCCTTCGACCCAAAGACATGTGAGCAACTGCTAATGAAAAGCCGTAAACAGCCACTTGGGCTATAGCATTTTCAACTCCACTCTGAGGTGATGATTCCAATTACATTTGAGACTTAACTTCTCTCAATTTTTTTCTAAGGAAAGTTCCTGAGTCCAGTATTTACAATATTACAGCACTAGCAGATCTGTGTCTATAACTCATCTTTTTCTGCTGTATCCTCTTTGCTACTGGGGGAGGGCCTGCACTTCCATAGAGTTTGCTGATAATTGGCTGAAGAATTTCTTCCAGATCCTTCTTCTTAGTTTTGAAGCCTTCAATGTCAGCAGCTTGATGGCTTTCCAGCCATTCAGTCTTTTCTTCTACAGCTTTTTCCATGGTCTCCTTATCTTCAGAGGAAAGTTTACCTCCCAGCTTTTCTTTCTCTTCAATCTGATTCTTTACAGAATAGGCATAGCTTTCCAACTCATTTCTAGTATCAATGCACTCCTTAAACTTTGTGTCTTCCTCAGCAAACTTCTCAGCATCATTAACCATCCTTTTGATTTCTTCAGGTGTCAGGGGATTCTGGTCATTGGTAATTGTGATCTTATTTTTGTTCCCTGTACCCTTGTCTTCAGCTGTGACTCAAAGAATACCATTCACATCTATCTCAAAGGTGACTTCAATCTGTGGGACCCCATGAGGAGCAGGAGGAATTCCAGTCAGATCAAATGTACCCAGAAGATGATTGTCTTTTATCAGGGGTCATTCACCTTCATAGACCTTGATTGTAATGGTTGATTATCAGAAACTGTAGAAAAGATCTGAGACTTCTTGGTAGACACCACTGTGTTTCTTGGAATCAGTTTGGTCATGACACCTCCCACAGTTTCAATACCAAGTGTAAGGGGACATACATTAAGCAGCACCATGTTACCTGTATCTTGATCACCAGAGAGCACACCAGCCTGGACAGAAGCACAATGCACTGCAGCTTCATCTGGGTTTATGCCACTGGATGGTTCCTTGCTATTGAAGAACTCTTTAACCAGTTGCTGAATCTTGGGAATTCGAGTAGAGCCACCAAGAAGAACAAGTTCATCAACATCAGACTTCTTCAAATCAGAATCTTCCAACACTTTCTGGATGGGCTTCATAATAGATTGGAACAGATCCATGTTTAGCTCTTCAAATTTGGCTGGAGTCAGGGTCTCAGAAAAGTCTTCTCCTTCACAGAAGGAGTCAATTTCAATTCTTGCTTGATGTTGAGAAGACAGGGCCTGTCTGGCCTTTTCTACCTCTCTCTGGAGTTTCTGCACAGCTCTGTTGTCTTTCCTGACATCTTTGCCAGTGTTCTTTGTGTACAGCTTGATGAAGTGTTCCATGACACACTGGTCAAAGTCTTCTCCACCCAGATGAGTATCTCCATTAGTGGCCACAACTTTGAAGACGCTATTATCAATGGTGAGAAGAGACACATTGAAGGTTCTGCCACCCAGGTGGAACACCAGGATGCCTTCTTCCCCTCCCTCTTATCCAGGCCATAAGCAATAGCAGCTGCCATAGGCTCATTGATGATCCTCATAATGTTTAGCTCAGCAATAGTTCCAATGTCTTTAGTTGCTTGGCATTGGGCATCATTGAAATAGGCTGGTATGGTAACAACTGCATGGGTAACCTTCTTTCTCAAATAAGCCTCAGCGGTTCATTTCATTTTAGTGAGAACCATGGCAGAAATTTCTTCAGGAGCAAATGTCTTTGTTTGCCCACCTCCAATATCAACTCAAATGTATGGTTTAGTTTTCTTTTCAACTACCTTGAACGGCAAGAACTTGATATCCTGCTGCACAGACAGGTCGTTCCAGGTGCGGCCGATGAGCCGCTTGGCGTCAAAGACCGTGTTCTCGGGGTTGGAGGTGAGCTGGTTCTTGGCGCCATCGCCGATCAGATGCTCCCCTTCAAGAGTGAAGGCCACCTAGGACGGCGTGTTGCGGTTGCTCTGATTGTTGGCGATGATCTCCACGCGCAGACGCAGGACTAGGTGGTCCCCAGATTGACGCAGACCAACGTGCCCACGTCCTCCTTCTTGTCCTTCTCCTCAAACGTGCCACACCAAGCAGCAGCAGCAACGCGGCCACCAGGGAGAGCTTCGTCTTGCCAACCAGTCAGGCAGCAGCAGGCAGGGCGTTGCAGGCAATGCAGCCACGGGCCGCAGCACAGGAATGCAGTGTGGTTACCCACCTCTCACATTTGCGAAACACCCCAATCGGTCTTCTGTCTGTGCTATCTTGGCCAGGGTTGAGAAAGTATTTTTGTATATGTACTTGATCGTGTGTAAAAACCACAACCAAATGTGGCAAAAGCAGAGAGAAATAATTTCCTGGGACTGTAGGCAGTCAAAAGTCAGACTTGGATTCTCTGTGTTGCCCTCAGCTTTCAAGTTTTAACTGTGCCCTGCTCACTGACTTGGCATTTGAACGAGTGCTAGAAATGGCCCTTAATGGAAAATTATAAGAAAACACTCAGAATTTCTGAGCCCATGTTCAATCTGAGTATTCCGAAGGGCTTCACAGTGTTAGAAATAATTGCCATTTACAATAATTTATAGGTTTACTAGATTTTCTAAATTGAGATACAAAGAGTCAAAAAAGATGGGGAAAATAACATACAAAACAAGCTATCTGCCATCAAGGCTGAATAGACCTATGTTGGCAAAAATAGTTATAAATAATATAATTCCTATCATTGCATGAAACAATTGTGACTAGTCACTTTTAAAGGCTATACTTTATTACTAAAAACATTGTATTGATTTCTCTTCATTTACCTACAACTGGGGTCCGTGTTGTCAAGTGCTCAAGCTGATCCTCAGCAGCAGCAAATATTGCAGGTGCAGGTGGTCCTTGCCAAGCTTCCATTGGTTGAGCCAGTGAGGAGACAACGCACCCGAATGATGTAGCTGTTTATTACTCACAGCACAGCAGACAGCATGAGCTTCAAGTTCACGTCAAATCCCCATCCCCCCGGGTCCTATGGGGGCGATGTGGAGGAAGCCTGGGTAGACACTATACACATGGTGGGTCTGTGCCACAGCTGAGAAGTCTTGGAAATCCCGACTTATAAGGGGACTTCAAGCAAACCTGCTCATCCTCCACTTTAGAGAGAGACATTATTCATATTTTATGGGTCGGGAAACCAATCTGCCCTCTGATCCAGAGGGAGACACTTTCTCTATCACCCTGAAACATCTCCAGGAGAGGAGGGAGACCTAGTTTTATGACCCTGGTGCATAAGCAAATCTGCTCCCTGCCCCCACAGCAGCTTTGTAGATTTCCATGAACAAAGCTGTCAAAGTTTTTTGCTTAGAGGATGGGCAGAAATACCAAATCCTTGGAGACTATCTCCCCAACACACAAGTGTACCCAGTGCCCATAAATGGCTTTGAGGGTTGAGCAAGATCAGAAGATTATGTGCATTTCATGCCAAAAAAAAAAAAAAAAAAAAAGATTGCTTCAGCCATAGTTGAAGGCAATTGATACCATCTCAAGTCATATTGTTTTTAATGATAATCATACTTACAAATAATTGATTCACAAATATGGAAACTACTTTTGACACCTTAGACATCCTTGCTCTAGCCTGGAGCCTTTGGATACATTCCTCTCTAGTTTTGGGATTTAGTCACACACCTTCAAGGCTCTGTCCACAGGTAGCATACTTAAGAATAGCCCTTATATTATAAAGAACCTGATAATATTTAGCTAATTAAATGGTAGGAGATAAGAATAAGAACTCTTCAGGGGTCTTTAATTTAGCTCAAAACTTAAAGAGTTCTCAAATAGCGCAACATTGCCCTGAGGCATTTATTCATGTGAGCTTCTGTCACTAAGAAAGTAAAGAAAGACAGATCTGAGCAAATCTGAATTTTTAACTGAGAGTGGAAGAGCTTTTCCTCTTCACCTCAGATCATACCGTTTCTGCTTTTAAGAATGGAACAGTAGGGTCAGATAACACAAAAGGCACCCTTCCAAATAGAAGCCAAAAAGATTGCACTGGCTCATAGAGGGCATCGCTGCTTGAATAAAAGTCAGTAGTAGGAAGTTAGAAGTGAGCAGGCATATTGGTTCTCAATTTTTTACAAAATAGAATCACATAGAGCGTGGCTAAATGATATCAATTCTTTGAGGATGACAGGTTTTTTAAAAAGGAGAGCCATACACCAAAGTAATGATTAATTGAAGCAATTTTTCTACCTTCAAGGAGATCCTGAATTTAACACATTATTCACATTGGTGACTATGGGGCTTCAGAATTACTGCATTTTCAAAGATTATTAAAACCAGAAATTGGCTGGGCACAGTGGCTTACGCCTGTAATCCCAGCACTTTGGGAGGCTGAGGCTGGCAGATCAACTGAGGTCAGGAGTTGGAGACCAGCCTGGCCAACATGGCAAAACCCCGTCTCTACTAAAAATACAAAAATTAGCTGGTTGTGGTGGCAGGTGCCTGTAGTCTCAGCTACTCTGAACGCTGAGGCAAGAAAATCACTTGAACCTGGAGGCAGCGGTTGCAGTGAGTCAAGATCACACCACTGCACTCCAGCCTGGGAAACAAGAGCAAGACTCCATCTCAAAACAAAACAAACCAGAAATCGGCATTTGTCTTATTAAACCCTCAATACAATAATAGACTCTTGCAAAGAACTTTAAATATTGGCTTGAAATGTGTGTGTGTGTGTGTGTGTGTGTGTGTGTGTGTGTGACTAGTTTTAATATCTTCTACAATTTAGAAGGAATTTTAGTGTTTATTTTTTTCTGAAAATAAGTAATTTATTTTGTATAGATCATATAGGTATCTTCTTATCTCAATGAGGAAAAAAAAGTCTTTCTTTTAAACGCTCCAGAGTTTGCAGCAAATATTTTAGTTAATAGCTCTTCCTTTAGATCAACTGAGCCTCAGATGTCATGAAAACAAACATGAAGTTTAATCATAGAAATATATTGCTCTTCAACAATCCTTATGTCTGTAAGTACTTAATGTTGTCTGGCAGTATATATTATCCTATAATAAAATCTGTTTTGCTAGTGTATGGTAACATATCAGATAAAACTTATTGGACGTGTACAGGACCCAAGATTGGTTAAGTGTGGAAAGGAATTTTCCTAATGAAGTTATTGGAAATAGTGATGGCAATATTTTTGTCTTTTAAATAAAAGCTAAATTCAATCAAATATAACCATTCACTCAGATGCCTTATGTGTGCTATAATGTTTATCTGAAAATGTTAGTATTAGAGTCTTAACTAAAACTAATGTAGTATGCTAACGCAACATACAGCAAATACAGAAATAACCATCAGAGTTGAGGTTTACTGATATTTTTGCCCATTCCCAACACCCATCCTGGGCATCAAAATGTAATTCTTCAAGAGTTCTGTGGGGAAAATAAAATGGATTTGTCTAGAATGACCTACTTTATATCATTAATGCACATTTTTAAAATTTTGTTTTGCTTTTTAAATCCTTATGTCTCGTTAAAATTGTGATTAAATATAAACAATATGAAATTTACCATCTTAATCATTTTTCATAGTTCAGTGACATTAAGTACATTCGCTTAGTTGTGCCACTATCACTACCAGCCATCCAAAGAACTCTTTTCATTTTGCTGTACCAATATTTTCAGACAACATACTCTATGTAGGTGTGGGTATTAGGATCTATTTATAATCACTAAGAATCTTGGAATTACATTTAGGCATTATGGCTAACTGAGACTACACGAACAGGTCTGATAAGGCTTGGGCCTTTTCTGTGGATCTCAAATGGTCAGGTCAACATTGGGAGTTGATCATTACTTTAGGGGTCATACCACCAAGGGATTTCATGTTTGATTATGTTACTGTTTAAGTATATCATTCTGTATGAGTCTTTATCAACTAATTTCTATGGAGGTTTGTTTTCTATCAATAGGCTAGGCAAACTTCTTGCTACTATTTAACTGGTGTAACCCTTTCTATTTCAGGCACAATCCATGTCCATCAGTGCAGAGTGTATCCTTTTGTGTTTTGTGTGTGAAACAATGGACATGTAATTCTTTTGGTAGAAATAATTACTTTCTCTTCAATGTGGAAGCTAAAAGTGGATAACTATTCACCAAATAGGTGATATGGAAAGGTTGAAAAGAGGTATATGGCAAAAGCATATCTATAATATTTGAGGGAGGTACTGTTTTGTCAGTTTATTTCAAATCAAATACTGTAAATTTGTAGCTATAATCAATGGGGTGAGTGAAGGGATAGAAACTGTAAATGGAAAACTGAAGACTTATATAGGGAAAAAGTTGTAAAATCTCATATTGCGGTGTTGAGCAAACCAGCTTTACACTTTATGAGTTTCTGCCACTGTTGTATTGAGAATACCTATATCTGAACCTCGGGGTTTTAAAAAAATTTCTTGTGATTTCCCATCATTGCCTCCCTCCCACCAAGGAATTATAGATTTCATACTCCAATGAAGATTCTACTCCAAGAGGCTGGCATGTTCTAAAGGGAAACCTCTTCCTGGAGCACTTTCATTCTTCTTGCCTCTTTCCTCTGCTTCCTCCTTCAGTGGACTAAGGGCCAGTAGTTTTCTTTCCTACCTCTTCCTAAATGTCACTTTCCTATGATGATTTTTTTCTTTTCGTCTCTCCTAGACTTGATTAAATGTCCCTGTTATATGCTCCCATAAAATCCTGACCTTTTTGTCTCATGAATTCCATTGCACTTTATTTGAATCAGGGTTATGGTTGGCTTCTTCCTCTGCTGTATTTTACATTCCATGATGGTGGTTACCTGCTTATCTTGTCAATGCTGCATCACCCAGCACTATGCGTGGTATCTGGTATCAGCCTGGAATAATTTTGGCTCCAAAAGTTAAAAACGTACATTTAAACAAAGCAATAAAACTTCTGGAAGAAAACGTAGGATATTTATTTATAACCACAGAGTGAGAAGGCTTTTCTGGCATTCAAGATTAAGAAAATTGAAAGAAAAGATTGATGCTTTTGATCACATAAAAATTAGAAGCTTTTACATAGCAAGAGATCTCACGAAGTCAAAAGGTAAATGACAAAATGGGGAAAAGATTTTCTACTCTTATCACAAACTAAAGATTATAAAGAAATAGACCAAATACTCAGTGGATCAAAAGTAAAGATTTGAACAGATAATTCTCAAATACCACTTTTGATGCATTACCTTGGGAAAGTTAAAAGATCAATTATACATTCATTTGCCAATAATCAGTGTGACTGTGTAGAGTGAATTGAATTGGATTGGGTAGGTGGAAATAGAGACTTGAGGTGAGTTTTTAATGTACATTGCTTTTCAACATTTTACTTTTTGAATCCTGAAGTCATATAACCTGTTAAAATTTAGTGATCAAACAATTGGAGAATGGAAAAAGTTAACAGTTGTAAAAATATAAAATACAAGGCAAGTATAAGAACTAGAACTTTTAAATATTAGGCTCAGGGAAGTTAAGGCTAAATTGGTAATAGTCTTTAAGCTTAAATGCTTCAGCTTAAAAATAAGGGATTCACACTTTGATCTCTTGGTCACTTCAAATTCTGAGACTCCATCATTTGACATGAATGGTTTTTTAAAAATAAGAAGTCTTATGTCTAGATATTTTCTATCTCCATTAAGAATAGCACAAAAATGTGAACTTAAATTTTCAGAGGAAAAATATGAGGTTGGAAAACTATAAAGAATATCAAATTACTAATTTCTAATAACAGGAGTCTTCACTTGCATATATTGAGCATCGCTATGTAGCTGACTTTGGGAGCCTCTTTGTTTAATTTAGAATTATTTATTTAATTTAAAATATACAATTGTAAAATATGTGTAACAGTATTTTAACTGTTTTTTCTTGCACATACATCAGATGCTTTTACAAATGTACATGTAAACACTAAAAATGTGTATATATTATATGTTATCGATACATGTATAGAAGGAAGGAAGGAAGGAAGGAAGGAAGGAGAGAGATGATATTCTTTGAAAAAAATGAACTTATATTTCTCTGCAAGTTGCTTTTTTCACTTACTAATATGCCTTGCTTTCTCTGATACCTATATACCTAACTTAGAAAACACATTCTGTACAACTCTTGCTTTTTAACCTTAATAAGGTCAGTTTTATTTTTGAAAATATTTTATAGAAATATTTAAAAATTGCTATATATTTATTAGTCAAGTTTAGTGATTTTATATTTAAATATTTTCTAAATTATTCTATCTTTATTCACTGTATTGATCTGCGGCAGGCTCCCATTACACTATGTGGTCTAGAGAAGTGCACAGATGTATAGAGGGAGCCAGATTATGTCTACATATTAATGTCTTTATGAAAAACCTATTAGTGTTTCATAGCTATTAATTGTTTGTCAATGTAATGTTTATCTGTGTATTTCATTCGTTAGTTTATGTTAATGTATTTCAGAGAAAATGAAGAGAAAAAAATACTTTTTACCTGAAGTTCTAATTGTACAGCATGAATTGTCTATTATAGGTTGTATGCATGACTGAGTCCCAAAAGAAAAAGCTGACACTGGCAAATGATTTAATTTTGTCTACATTCAG